TGTGTGTATGTATGTATGTGTGTGTGTATGTGTGTATGTGTGTATGTATGTATGTATGTGTGTGTGTATGTATGTGTGTATGTGTGTATGGAGACAGGGTGTCACTGTGTAGCTCTTGTTGGCCTGGAACTCATAGAGATCCGCCTGTGTCTGGGATTTGTTTTTTAAGACAAGGTCTTGCAGTATGTCCCAGGCCGATCTCCAGCTTGTAACCCTTCCCTTTAGCATCCTGTGTGCTGGGATTCAGGTGTGCCCAGCGAGGCTAATGTAATTAAAGATGAACTAGAAGACAAACCACAAAATTGCCAGTTTCACAGGAGTGTTTGAAAATCAGCTTGTTCAGAGCATTGGAAACAGATTCTTTAGTTTGTGCTGTGTGGTTTTCATAGGAGCTAGAATTTAAGATGGCTGGGCTTTACTGTTTAAAACAGTGCCATGTCAGTGGAGAGCTGAACACAGCAGGTGACATCTCTGCAGTGCCCAGTAGTTCAGAGTGGCAGAGAGCCCAGCTCTTAGCTTCTCTGCCTGTGCTTCTGTGAGTCCACATGATTCATGTTGTCTTGGTGCTTTTTTAAAGCATGTGCGGAGAATGCCATGGCAGTTTGATGCTGCTGTTAAAAATACATACAAGCTTCCATCAGTAATCAGTTTACCATCCTTTATATTTCTCCTTCCAATCATAGCATTCTGCTTCTCTCCAAATTTCATGCCCCTACAGTGTTTGCCTAACAGGTTTTTGTTGTTGTTGTTTTTTACTGAAAAATCATAATTCTCTGCCACAGAAAAATAGATACATTAAAAATTAAAGAAAACATAAGTCCTAATATCTGGTTTCAGAATTCTGCCTGAGATGTTGTTACAGTTCAGAGGCTGGGATGTTCTCAGTGGTAGAACACTTGTCTAGCATGCGTGAGGCCTTAGGCTTCATCTCCAGTAGTGAAAATAAAAATTATTACAGGCTTTTTTTCTCTACTTTTTTCTTTTTGAGACAGGATCTCCCTGTAGCCACAGCTGGCCTAGAACTCTCTATGTAGATTGTTCTGGCCTCAGTATCATAGAGATCTGCCTGCCTCTGCCTTCCGAGACCTGGGATCAAAGACGTGCACCACCACGCCTGACAAAAAAATTATTATAGTTTGTATTACAATTAAAATCAGCAGCCAGGCGTGGTGGCGCAGGCCTGTAGTCCCAGCACTCAGGAGGCAGAGGCAGGCGGATCTCTGTGAGTTCAAGGCCAGCCTGGTCTACATAGTGAGTTCCAGGCCAGCTGGTGCTACAGGGAGACCCTGTCTCAAAAAGACCAGAAAAAAAACAAAACAAAACACTCCAAAACAAAATTAGCACACTATCAACCAGGTGTGGTGGTGCACTCCTTTAATCCCAGCACTCAGGAGGCAGAGGCAGGCTTTTGTGAGTTTGAGGCCAGCCTGGTCCACATAGTGAGTTTCAGGTCAGCTGGGGCTACAGGGAGAACCTGGATCAAAAAGACAAAAAAAAAAAAAAAAAAACCTATCAAAACAAAAGTATCTTACTTGGATTAAGCACAGAAAGTAAGATTCGTTGGAAATGTCTTTCCTTGGAGAGATCCCAAGCTGCAGGTGTGAAGCAGGCGATGTGGAGCAGGTTAGATCCCACACAACCCTGTTGTTCATTCCTGTGAGTGGATTCTCAGCCCTGCAGTTGTTTGGCTAGGCAGAAGCCAGGGAAGTTTGTTACACGTGTCAACAAATCTGTGCACTGCTGGCCTCTGTCACAAATCTGTTACCCTAGAGTTGCTGTTGACACTAGAGCAGAGACGGTGGGGTGAACTGAGTCTAGGAATGAGGCACCTTTCCTCTCCTTCAGGAATTGAGGGGGAGACAGGAGGGACCCAGGATGACTACATGTCATTCTGTGGGACCTGAGGATCCTGACGCCTGTTCTCATGCTCCACAGAGACCATGATGGGCACCCCTCCTCCGGCCAGCGAGCTACAGCAATCCCAGCCGCAGGCCCTGCACTACACACTGGCCAACGCACAGCAGGTGCAGATCCACCAGATTGGAGAGGATGGACAGGTCCAAGTAGTACGTACCTTCTCACTAGTGTGCCCTGGCAGGTGTGTGTGTGTGTGTGTGTGTGTGTGTGTGTGTGTGTGTGTGTGACAGGTGAAGGTGGACACACTGAGAACTCGAGGTAAGGTGGGAGTGCTTTGTTTGCAGGGGTCAGAAGACAGCCTCGCCCATGCTTGTGGCAGCCACTGACTGACCTAGTGGTGAAAATGCACCGCAGGACACTCAGAGGTCCATTGTGGTTCATCCCTTGGTCTTGCACAGATGTTGTGGTCCCTACACATGTGCAACCTTGTTGAAGGTGGCTGCTTCTGCTGGTCTTTCTAGAAGCACTGAAGTGTTTCTCAGTTCACAAGCTCAGGCACTCTTTTGCTGTGGAAGAAAAGTCTAGATGAGGGTGACCTTGGTTTCTGTGTAGGACTTCTATAGCATGTGCTGGACATAGCAGGCACTGTGCAGTGAAGAGGCCTGTCAGCTTGGGGGATTGTGGCCCTAGCTGTGGTCAGCACAAGGGCTAGGTGGAGAGTTTTGCATATTCTGGGCCCCTGTGGCAGACAGAAGGAAGGGCAGAGTTGGGAGGTGAACACTTGCAGAAGCTGCTGGAGAACAAGGGGTTTTAAGGATTGTGGGGCCTTTGAAGACAGGGCTGCCATTGAGCCCACACTCAGAGGCCTGGGGTTCGATTCCCAGCACCTACATGGCAGCTAACAACCATCTGTAACTCCAGTTCCAGGGGATACAATGCCCTCTTCTGACTTCTGTGGTAATTATATGACACACATACAGATGATATGCTCATACATATAAAATTTTTTGAAAAAGGAGATCTGGGCCGGGCATGGTGGCACATGCCTTGAATCCCAGCACTCGGGAGGCAGAGGCAGGCGGATCTCTGTGAGTTCAAACCCAGCCTGGTCTACTTAGCGAATTCTAGGTCAGCTGGGGCTACAGGGAGACCCTGTCTCAAAAAGACCAAAAAAAAAGGAGATCTGGGGTTGAAAGTGGTTAGTTTAAAGAGCTTGTTGAACTTGTGTAACTCACATGGACAGCAGCAGGCATGCTCACTTTGGGAGTAGCAGGGTCCTTGAAGGAACTCGGGCGTAGACCCCTTTGGCACACAGCCTTCCATGGACAGCAGAGTAGAACGCTGAGGACACCTGCAGCACTTTGTCGTAGGATTCGCTTAGGCCGAGATGGGGTCTTCAAGATGATTTACCTTTAATTATATGCATATGTGTATGTGCATGTGAGTCCACTTCCCCACAGAGCTCAGAAGATAGTGTCAGATCCCCTGGAGCTGGAGTTACAGGTGGTTGTGAGCTGCCCAGCCTGAGTGCTGGGAACTGAACCCGGGTCCTCCACAAGAACAGTCAGTGCTCTTAACCACTGAGCCATCTCTCCAGCCCCATTGTTTAGTAATATTTTAAGGTTCAGCAGATTTCATAAATCGTGTGCTAAGTATGTAATTTCAGAGACTGTCAGGTGGACTCAGGCTAAACACGTGTGTACAGTTGCCCTGTGCTGGCTAGAACCTGTCCTCTTGAGCTGTAAGTGGCTGGGAGCAAGTGCGGCAGGAAACGCTTCCTGTGTCCTTTGCTTTGTTTTCTTCTGATGCTTCTTGGTGTCGTCTCTTGCTGTGGATTCCACAGGGCCACCTCCACATCGCCCAGGTGCCTCAAGGGGAGCAGGTGCAGATCACGCAGGACAGTGAGGTGAGTCAGTTGTCACCCTGTGAGGTCGTGTACTCAGTATGAGGAGCCAGTGGTGTTCCAGCAGGGCCCAGGAGGCTCTCCAGGAGAAGGTCTGCCTGGCCTAGTGGGGCAGCTGGCACGTTTCCCTCATGTCCTTTATAATCAGTGGTTGTGTTTAAAATGAGATCTGAGAAGAGACGGTCTAGACTCAGAAGAGTTTGTACCCCAGGGGTATGTGGCTTCTGCCTGTTGAGACCTGAGCAGGCGGTGCTCTGACGGTGCACTTGAGTCCTGTCGTGAGGGAGCAGCTGTGGAGGACACAGGCAGTGAGCACCTAGGACCATACTGGGCTGCTGCAGACACAACCTTGTCAATCTCAAATTGTCCTAAATAAAAAGGAGACAAGAAAGATGTTCTCATTTGAGGTTCAGAGTCAAGGGACTAGCTATAAGATTTTTTAACACCAGAAGAAAACCCCTAGAAATCCAGCTTACAGTAGTGTGTGTGTTTCTTGCTATTAGGGGTTGGAAGAATGAGTGGTTTCCTGACTATCCCACATGGAACAGGGACGTTCTTACTCTTGTCTCCTTTTCACTGTGCAGGGCAATCTGCAGATCCATCACGTTGGCCAGGATGGACAGGTAAGTACTCACCCGTGCCCCTTGCCCACCATCTCGCTGTGACACCCCCCCCCCTGCATGATCACCTGTGTTCCCAGCATGAGGCCCTGTGGTGCAGGAGGGAGGTGGCTCCTGTAGGGGGAGCTCGGGCTTCTGAGGACTGGTCTTCCTCACAGGGCCACACGGGTCTGCAGGAGCGCGTGCACGTGGGGCTCTGGCCTGCATTTGTACTTTATGGGCTCTCACGGTTCTTGTCACAGAAGCTACACCCCACCTTACCCCTGTTTACTTCTTTCTGCACATTTCCATGAAAGTTTGATGGCGTTTGCACAGGTAGCTGCGTGTGGGACAAGGTAGGTTTGGTTCCTGCTTTTCTGAAATGCGGAGGGCAGCCCCTCCTTGGACATTCCTGGAATGATGTTTGTACAGTGAAGTGCCCCAGCTGTGGGTCCCCAGGAGGGATGTGCCATCTAGTCAGGGGGAGCTGCTGGTGGCCATGGGACTTTGCAGTCCGTTGGCATTTTCCAGTTTCTGTGGAAGGCTGGTTTCACCCTGGGGTCGCTCTGCAGAGTCCGGACAGATGCCATGTTTTGTAGAGCTTAGCTTAGGAAGTTGGTGATGAGAGAGAGACACACAGAGCTCGCTCACAGTCCGGGAACTGCTCCTTGTTTTCGAAATGCTCTGCTCTGGAGACCGTGTGCCTCTTCCTTGTGCCTCCCGCTTTGAGAGAGCAGCTCAGAGAAACCCAGAGCTTGTGGTGTCTGATGGTCAGCGGGGGCCTGGCCTTCGTATTGGTGGTTCCTCTCTGCTTTTGGTGACTTGGAGGTTTGTGTTTGTGGTAGAGTTTTACCACAGCAGGTGTGCCTGGGTCTTCGCGGGTGAGGAAAGCTTTTGGAGTTTCCTTGTCTCTCTGTCTCGAATAAAGTTCCACCTGGAATTAAAAACCACAGTGGGGCTTTTCAGTCAGTGCTGCAGGCAGAAGTACCTGCCTGCCCTCAGTCTCATGACTTTGCATGAGGGCAGAGAGTCCAGCATCTGTTCTGAGGCAGCCCAAGCCACAGCCACAGGCTCCCAGGCAAGAACAGTCAGGCTGCGACAGCTGGTGCCCGAGTCTTCACGGCAGACACCTGGTCTGCTCCTTCTTGCCACCACCTCAGAAGCCTGTCACTGGGCTGTGACCCCTCTCACTTTCTGCTCTAAGCAGCCTGTCTGCAAACGACCAACTTTAAAAAGTGTTGCTGCTCACCTCACACTAAGCAGACATGTGCTTCCTTCCCACCCTGCTCTCGGTATCACGGCCAAGGGCACTGCTGCACCTGCAGGATGTGAGCGCTTGGCAGTCTCTTTCTGAGCAGTGCTGCTTTCTGGAGTGCTCATGAGGCTGCTGCCCTCTGGCAGGTCCGCAAGCGAGTCCCTTTTTGTTTTCCACCCGTGGAAATTGTTTTCGTTTTATCATCTGGCCAGCTCTCAAGTCTGTTCAGTGACCTCATTCAGAACAGCTTCAAACTGACCAGAGAATTATGAAACCGAATGATGGTTCAAAGGCTCAAAGACCCCACTTACCTCTACATCCCTGATAGTGTCACAGAGCCCAGACCTGTGCTGGGGAGAGTCACCCTTCTAACTGCTCCTCCCAGGCCCACAAGAACACTGTGCCTGTGGCTCTTGGATTACTTATTTATTTTTATTTTATGTGTATGAGTGTTTTGTCTATAGATATGTAAATGCTCCTGTGTCATGCAATGCCAGTGGAGGTCAGAAGAGGGTGTCAGGTCCCCTGGAATGGAGTTATGGTGATTGTTAGCTGCCATGTGGGTGCTGGGAACCGAACCTGGGCCCATCCTCTGTTGAATACACATTGAGCCTGGCCTTCTGAACATTGCAGCTCTGCCTGGCCTGCCTCACACAGCTTGGGGCTCACATTGGCCTATGGTTGGGCAAGGTCATCTCAAAAAACATCTTTTGTAATACGTTAGTACCTCTCCTGCTTACTAAGTGATGGACAGTCTTTAACGGGGAAAGCAATGATGGTGTGGGCATACTTTCACACACCCAAAAGCTAAGAAGCCACGAGCCAGGGGCTGTCTGTATATATGATTTTTTTCTCTAAAGACACAGGGAACTGAATCTAGGGCCTTGCCCTTGTTAGGCAAGTGCTCTCCCACTGAGCCCTATCCCTAGTCCCTCCCCTCTCCTCCCATTTTGAGACAAGGTCTCACTAAATTGCCCAGGCTGGCCCTGAACTTATTCCAGAGCCCAGGCCTTGCTCTTACTCTGTGGCCCAGGTAAGCCTTGAGACTGGGATCATCCTGCCTCAGCTTCCTGAGTAGCAAGATTATAGGCCTGCACACCAGGCCTAGTTGTCCATGAATCTGAAGATGGAAACTTTAGGATCATGGCGGCATGACTAGTGGCCCTGCTTTTTAACAGCACTGTGTCACTGAGTGAACTGTGGTGGCAGCAGACCAGTGAGTGTCCTCAGAAGGCCAGAGGTGGCACCCGTGGCTGCCTGACTGGCCTGCACCTGAATGTGTGAGGTGACCACCATCCAGCCACCATGAGAGGAAGCAGACTGGCCCCTGACCGCCACCAGGCCGCCGTGAGAGGAAGCAGACTGGCCCCTGACCGCCACCAGGCCGCCGTGAGAGGAAGCAGACTGGCCCCTGACCGCCACCAGGCCGCCGTGAGAGGAAGCAGACTGGCCCCTGACCGCCACCAGGCCACCGTGAGAGGAAGCAGACTGGCTCCCAAGCATCAGTTTGGGTGATGCTGTTGCCTTTTGAGCTTGCTCCAGAAGCTTCAGATCTGTGTTCCCAGCAGACCCCTCCGCTCCCAGCTGGGGAGTGTGCTGTGGAAAAAGACTAATGAGCAGCAGGTGTTCAAAGAGCCAGGGCAGGAGGAGAACGCTTAGCCTAGAGACTGTTCCCTTCGCAACAAAAGCTGAAAAAGAAGGGATTCAATACAGACGTTCTCCCTGTGGTCTTACGTTGCAGCGAGGCTTTTGTGGTTCTTGGTGTGACTTGCCATCACTCTCCTCCCTCTCTGACCAGCCTGTCACAGGCAAGGGTGGCTGCGGCAGGGCCTTCAAGGCCTCTTCTGTTCTCTTTGTTTCTATTGGTCCAGTGAACTTGAGCAGTGTCCAGGGTTCTGTTTCCTGTCGGGCAGACTGTAGCTCGGAGTAACAGACAAGGTAGCATCTATGCCGTGTGCACAGAGCAGCACGCCCAGGGCTCCCTTTTACCACTGCCCTCGGGTGGCCTGTGTGCTGTTGGACTGGAGTCCCAGGTCTCTGACTGGTTCTCCTCACACAAGCCTATTCTGGCATCCTCTTCTGTCCCAGGTCCTGGTCCTTTCCGTTCAGGTTTATGCTGAATGATGGAGCTGTGAGGTCCTCTGGCAATTCAGAAATGACCAACCATTGGCATTAGACTTTGGCCTGACACCCCCACCCCCCACCCAGACTAGACCCCTGCCCTCCAACCAGAACACACCCATCAGGAATGTTCTCTCTATGTGTTTTGGTACCTCTCCCAGCTCCAAGACCCCTGGTCATCTAGCACCTGTTCCCCTTGCCTGCCTACTCGTCCTGTTTGCCTGCCAGCCTTGAGCACTGGTGTAGAGTGTACATTGACTTCCTCACTGGGAGACGGTAGCTTGAACGCCATCTCTGGACTGGGCGACTTCTGAGGTAGAGCCACTGTGAAGCAGGAGCCCTCCCTTGTGCTGTGGCTTGTTTCTAATACCCAGTGTTACCATGGCGACAAGGACACCTGTACAGAGCAGCAGGGCTCCGCTCATCTCCCAGGGCCACTCGAGCACGGAGTGTGACTTCTTGGGTATTTTGTTGTTTGCAGAAAGAGCCCTCCGCCCCGAGAGGGCTCCGTGTACCCAGAACATTCCACTGTGTTTTGAGCTCTTGGCCTTAGGTTGAAGTAACCTCTTGTTGACCTCAGAAGACTTGTCAAGAGCAAACTCGCCATTAAGACCAGCTACCACCGTCACCCTTAAAGGAAGCTTCTGACTTCATTGTGGTTGTGTTTGAAGACAGCCCCAGTGATTTAGCAGAGACACAGCTTGTTTCTACCACAGGGCCTGAGTCTCTGGGGTGTGAGGGAACAGCTCTGGCCCTGCTCTGGGCTCTCTCAAGAACGACCAGTCTCTCCTGCCTCTCGCTCTGCTCTCAGCTCCGTGCCCAGAGGCCAGGCTGAGTGCTGCACTCCTCGCTAGCAGAAGCCCCAGGCCACAGAGCTCCAGGAACGCTCAGGGCTTCAGGAGGCCTGGGCCTGGGAACATGGCTCAGGTGGAGAGCATGGTGAGCCTGCTGGCGCTTGGCCTCCCCTGTACAGGCCTGGGCGTGTCTGCAGGGCCTTTCCTTTACCAAGGGACACATGCGGCTGCCCCCTCCATGCCACATTAGGCTGTCTGAAGGATCTGTTCTTCCCAGTTCAGAACTAGAGTTAGGCTTTCTAAGTCATCATCACCGACTGGTCTCTTGGATTGTGGTGACTCCTGTGTGTTGAGTTGCTGCAGATTCCTGCTGACATCCAGGAGTCTTTGTATGGATCCAGCACCCCCCTCTGCCATCCCTGTGTGAGGGGACCCATAGATTACGAAGAGGGCACCAGGGGAGGAGCTTGGGGGTGACCGCTGGTGCTTTGAAGGGCAGTGAGCTGGCCCAGAGAGCTTCAGGAGAGGTTGTGAGCCCCTGGAGGCCTCAGATGTTACGGGAAGTTCTCTTTAGTAGGAGGTTCAGCCGAGGGCCGTGGCCCTCAAACCACTTGTTACTGCTGGAATCTTAGAACAGAAGGAAGACTCTGCAGTTCAGAGGTACACAGGAGGCCAGGCCACCTGTGGAGGCGTGCAGAGAAAGACAGGTTCTGCCTGTGCTCCTTCCGGAGGCCTTTCTGCTGGTTGCACTTGGGCCTTGGTAATCCTGTTTGTGGCCACGTCATCCCAGACTGCCTCTGTCATTATACAACCTTCTAGAATTGTGCTTGTTCTAAGACACTTGTCCTTGGGTTGGGGCCTGTCTCTTCTGGAGGGGCCTGCTGTCAAGTGTGGTCATCCTCAGATGTTAGAGGTTTGTCTAACGATAGAGAAAGGCCTGCAGACTCCTAATCTGCATCCCATCACGGGCAACGTGTCATTCAGTTTCCGCTACCTCAAACCCTTTTCTTCAGTGGAGTAGCAAACCCCAGCTGGGCCCACAGGGGAGCCCTGCTTTGGGGCCAGCTCCCTGCCGGGGCAAGCTCTGTGCTGGAGGTTTGAGTTGGCTTTAGAGCTTCTCCCCAGCAGCCTGCTGTGCTCTGCTGCTCCTCATGTACCTGCAGGGCCTGCCAGCTGACCTGTGCTGTGTCATAGGCCCCCTCCTGGCTCTGTGTGCAGGGTCACACTCCTCGGGGTGGTAGAGACGAGGTAGTGGGAGGGATCACCTACAACCAAGGACTCTGGACCACCCAGAAGGAAGGTGCCTTGTGAGCACCACCATAGCCCCTGGCCCCACGGAGGTTAGGAGGGGGCCTCTGACTGACCACACTGACCAATTCTGTAGTGTGGCAGCCTTGTTTGGTGTGGACATATTCGCCAAACCACTCTGGAGATGATCAGCACACTGACCCACAGAATGAAGATGGCTGCCTGTGTGCTCCTCATGGGGCCGAGGATGTTGTACCTGCTTCGGGAACCACATTTTCCCATCCTGGGTCGGAGCATCACCTGGTGGCAGGTGCTCTTACGTGATGCTTTGTGTCTGTGAAATGGAACTCAGCAGGAAATCATACCCTGTGTTTTGAAGCTCTTTTGCCCCATGATGGTTAACACAGTATGTTTTGTTCTGTAGAGTGTTTTCCAACTTACCAGAAACCCTCAGAGCCCCTCAAGCTGTGTCCTTGGCTGGTGGGAAGCAGCTGTGCATGGCCTCTGCTTAGCTCAGCTCGGCCTCTTCTGTGTGAAGTGTGCTCTGCCCCAATATCCACCAGGCACAGCCTACAGTTCCCCCTTCCACGGTGTGCATCCCATTCCTCAAGGTTGTGAAATCTCTGTGTTCCCTGCTCAGCGTATGGTGTGCTCACTTCAGTACAGTTGACACCAGTTTTACTGTTCCTGTTCCTTGTCCACTCCCTGCCCACCTGGAGGCCAGAGGCCTCAAGTGCAGAGAATATAGGAATGCTCTGGGTCTGACACTGGGTTGTTAAATCCCCACCCTGTTCACTCAGCAGGACATAAAGCTTGTTCCCAGGAACACTGCCAGTGCGGGATGATAGGGATTACCTACACATTTACATTTCTAGACTTCCGACTTTGTGGTGTTTGCTGCTCTCCAGATTGGGTTTGAGGTTTGCTTACATGCTGGAAAACGATAGGGCAAGCCAGCAAAACTGTCTGCTTCTCTTGACCTACGGCATGGGTGTCTGTGTCTCTCTAAGCTGCAGCTCGGGCTTGCTGCTGCTGAAGAGTGTGTCTCTGAGGTGCCGCTCACCACAAGTTCTGTGTTTGCCCAGCCTGCGTGCTGCTCAGCTGTTTCCCGTTGTCCACCACTGAACAGTTAGTTGATTCATGAAGCACTAAACATGGAATTCAGGGACTGGGGAGATGGCTTCGTGGGTGAGAGCACTTTCTCTGGAGATGTGAGAACCTGAACTCAAATCCCCAGCACTCATGTCGAAGCTGGGCATGGCCGTGCATGCCAGTAATCCCAGTGTTGGGGTCAGAGACGGGCAGATCCAGGCAGCTTGCAGCCAGCCAGCCTGGGTAAAGCGGTGGGCTCCGTATTGGGTGGAAGCCCCTTACTCAGTGGACTAAGACAGAGAACAGATTTTGGCCTACACAGGTGTGTGTACCTCCACACATGTACAAACACACTTATTCAAGAAAATGGAATTTGAAGATACGTGTTTCCTGGTTTCTCTCAGAGAGTTTAAAGGATTAGTAGCTGGGGAGACTGTTGATTGGTAAAGCATTTGACACACAAGCATGAGGACCTGCTTTCTGACCCTGCCCGCCCAGCACTCACGTGAAAAGAGCCAGGCTTAGGTCAAGTGTGGTGGCACAGGCACTTGGGAGGCAGAGGCAGGGGAACCAAATTGCAGGCCAGTCTGGTCTACGTAGTGAGTTCCAGGCCAGCTAGGGCTATGTGGTGAGACCCTGCCTCAGAAAAACACAAAACCGAAAGCCAGGCACGGTGGTGCACATCTGGAGCTGGCCGCCTGGTGGCGAGGGTCTGGCTGGTGGCCTGGGTGCCAGCGCTCTCCTAGCTGCAGTCAGGCGTTTCCACAGTCCAGGGCCTGTTGGAGAACCTGTAGTTTGGGGTTCTGCTGCAGGGGTGAAGCAAGCAGAGAAGTGAAGGAATTGGAGTTCACCATTAGAAGACACTCGTCCATGTCCTTGCTGTGGTGACCTGCATGGCTGTGTTCCTTCTATAGCCAAGGATCCACGTATGCAGGACTGCAGCCCACAGGGACAGGGGGCCACCTTCTTGGGCTGCATAGAGCACCCTCGTGGCCCCAGAGGAGCTCATCTTTGCTGCCCTTCAGCCAAGTCTTGGCCTCAGGGTCTTTCCCTCACCACCAGTTTAGCATCAAGGCCAAACCGCAGGCTGCTTTCTGTTCGGGAGGCTGCCTGTGCCTCTAGATGCTGCCTCCTGCAGTGGAGCTAACAGCCGAAAGCTTGGATTCGATTGCCACAGAGCATGGCAGCCCATTGTTTTACTCTCTGTGGTACACATGTGTGACCCTTGCACAGTGCTGCTTGCCTTCTGGGTGCTGTGATGGGAGCTTTTAAACACATCAGAGCACGTATGTCACAAACTTACAGCTCTCCATGCAAGCGTGCACTGGGTACTCGATATGCCAGGTGCTGTGACTTGGCCTTCCTCTCGCCTGCTTGGCGAACTCTGAGCCTCTCTTTCTTATGTATGCCCTCAGATGGGGTGCAGCATCCGGCCGCAGCGCACATCTGTCACAGGGAACGCTCGTGCTGCTGGGACTATCCTCAGCCTTGCGTGTGGGAGTGTGTGGGCACATGTCCTCTTCCTGCCCCGTCTGCTGCTCTGGGCTGCAGCTTCACAGAGAAGCACTGGGACAAGCCATGCCTGAGGGGCCTGCCGCCCCGGCCCTTCCTGCATCTCTCCTCCTCACAGTCACCGCCCCTCACCTGAGAACATTTCCATTGAACTGCTGTGGACTGTTGTGGTGGTCTTATGTAGCCCAGGCGAGCCTCCGACTCAATAAGTAGCCGAGACTGGTCTTGATCCTCCTGCTTCCATGCCCCCAGGTGCTGGGACTACAGGTGTGTGCCATTATGCCCAGCTAGAAGGTGCTTGTTTTGGGGCCCACCTGGCAAGCACCTGGGAGCCTTCTCTCCAGGTGCTGGGGTAAGGCTCAGGGATGGCCCGCACAGCAGAACAGCAGTGTCTACCCTGCTGCTGGTCACCCAGGATGGTACTCACCAACTGTGGAGGTGTGGCCAGAACCAGACAGTTCAGGTCTTCAGGCCTTCCCAGGCTAGTGACCACCTGTAAGCCTGGAGACAGGACCCGTAACCTGTGTCTTGGTCCTGGAGTTTCTTCACAGCAGCCAGCTGAGGTGGGGGCTCCCCAGTTCTCCCCACAGTTGAACAGATGTAGTCAGAGCCCCCTAGAGTCTAGGCTCTACAGCGTCCTCATTGGGAGGCAAGCTCCCCAGTTCTCCCCACAGTTGAACAGATGTAGTCAGAGCCCCCTAGAGTGCCTCATTGGGAGGCACAATAGGGAGTCAGGCCCAGCATCTCCAGTATTTAGAAGTCATGACTTTCGGAGTAGATTCCCAGCTGAGGACAGTGTCCTTTTATCACGTTCACCATCACGTGGCGCATCTTCATCTTAATATTTAAAATTCAGGCTTTCTGACGGTAACAGCTCTTCAGCTTTAACCGTGTAGAAAGTGGTTTGATTGCAGTGATGGTGGGTAGTGTTGTTGAGGTACTGAGCAGGGAGGGTGCTGGTGGCCAGCACTGTTGGGGTACGGAGCAGGGAGGGTGCTGGTGGACAGCACTGCTGGGGTGCTGAGCAGGGTGGGTGCATCTTTGCCAGAACCAGAGCACAGGCAGAGCCTTCTGGAAAGCAACTTCCCTGGTTACAGACATTTTCTTAAAAATAGCTGCAATTAAACTCGTTTATGGAGCGTGATTGCAAACCCACAGGTGCGTTCTGACACCTGACTTTAAACTTGGTGTTCCTCAAGGTGGCCTGGCTTCTAAAATTCCCAGGAAATAGCACGCCGGCCAGCCAGCCGCCCGGCCAGCCACAGTGTGTCAATGCCTCCCTTCTTTCCACCTCCTCCCCGCAAGGTGGGATCTGTGGCTTGACAAGTTGCTGCCAAGCCTATAGCCCCCATTCTGATCTCTTCCAGTCGTGGGGCCTGTGCCAGAATCCCATTCCTGTCAGCGCTGACTCAGTGGCCCAGGCTAATCCCTCCCAGCTTTGGCCTCTGGGAGGAGACACACTTGATCTGCCTGCTGGAAATGAGATGATCCAGGTTTGTAAGTGTTTCTTGTCGGGAGATGTGGGTGGCCTGGCCAGTGTTTCCCAGGGACTGTGAGAGGAAGTGCCAGGTCAGAGCTCCGGACAGCTGCAAGGCCTGTCCATGTCAGAGCCTGTGGCAAGTTAGACTGCAGCACGTCGTGAGCTCGGCCTCACAGCTGCTGCCTTGTGCCTGCTGCTGTCCGTGCCAGGGGCCTCCAGAGGCCTGAGGATGAAAGCTTGGCTTGGGCAGCCTGAGATGTCACAGAAGGGGTTAGCAGAGTCTGCAAGGTGTCTGAGCAGGTATGTGCATACATGTAGATGCATGTGTATGCACATGTGTGTGTAGGCATCCTTGAAAGGACTGGCGGCATGGGAGAATGTGCAGTTTGGTGATGGCTGGTAAAACAAGCCCCAGCAGTGAGCTCAGCCCTCCCCTCACAGCCTTGTCCCCACATTGTCCTGTTGTTCTGACACAGGGCCCTTGGGGCCCTCAGGTTTGCAGCAGTTCTGGGTGTTGGTGTCCTGGCCTCTCACTCTGACTCTTGCTGCTTTACCGCCTCTGCTGTTGGCAGTGCACATGCGGAGCCACCGTTTGCCTGTCTAGCCTACCATAACCCAAGGCAGACTAGGGAAGATCAAGCAGGCAGGAGTGGGCCATAGACCATTGCCCTGTCTGTCTGACCTTCCGTTGGGTGCTGGGTGGGAACAGCCCCTGCCTCTGCAGAGTGTGGCTTTGGTGAGGTGGGAGAGTGAACTAGGAGAGTGTAGGACCCACTGAAAACCACAGAGCTGCAGAGTGGGGAGAGGTACAGGGAAAGAGAGGTGCCCAGCCATCCTGGCTGCCTGCCTGAGGAGAGTTGTAAGCAGCTCACACAGTGGGAGGGTCTGGAAGAACCAAGGCCCTACTCTCCAAAGCAAGAGCTCCATCTACTTTCCCCCCAAATTCTTGGTTTTATTGTAAGTTTAACTGCTTGGTCAAATGAAGCAAAACCACACTGCCTGGAGAGGTGCAGTTCTGAGGCAGAGCTGGTGAAACGCTGCCTGTAGGTCAGAGTGGAGTGGGGACCAAGGGCCCCTGTGGGTGGGTTCCTGAGAAGCGCAGCTAGAAACCAGGGCGTTCCATTGTGCTCACGTTTCCTAGACGGGGGCCAAGCTTTGTCCAAAACATGACATGGATTCAGCCAGCTATTGGGCAGCTTGGCCCTCTGTGCCCTGCCTTGCCCTCCTTTGAAGAGGGTGGGAGCAGCCGGCAGCATTGTGAACAGCTGTGCCGGGGTGGTGGTGGGGTGGTGCCAAGATATTTTTGGGTAGAGATACCAGGCAAGTGTTTCTGTTGAGTTTACCTGGGAGCCAGTTACAGAGACTCCTTTTCATTAACCTGGACTTGAGCACCTGGAGCGGGGTGAAGGCCTTTCCTGATTGTGCACGGCCCCTTGCTATCTGCCACTGTGGCCCATGGAATGGCCAACCAGGATGTGAGGCTCCTGTGAGGCCCAGACTGTCCTCTCCCTGCATGCTGGCCTGGAGGAGAGCAGCAACAATTGGCAGGTCCAGAGAGGTGGACCTTATCTAAGGGCTGGGCATGTGTGGAGACAGGCTGGATGTGAGGCTGGCATTGTTGGCACTGTCTCTCAGCTCCCCTGAGCTGAGTCTGCCAGAGCCTCCCTTCATGAGTAGAATCAAGCTGGAAGTGATATACCAACCCGGCAGCTGTTGTACACTGGCACGGGAGTGGGCCACTTCCCAAAGGAATGCTCAGCATCAGTCCCTCAGGAAGGCCCTGCTGCCCCATGCCACCCTGGCATCCGAGTCCAGCGTGCATTCCTGAGGGGATAGCTATATTCAGACTATTGACAGTCATATTCCAACGGTCTTCTCACTTTTTCCCAACCATTCAAAACATTTAAAGGGCTTTTCAGTCGTTAAGAACCATCTCCACTGCACAGGCAGCGGGTTCGGTCTGGGAGCCCACACTTGCTCTGGTTTCCTAGCTCTTCATTAGCATAAAGTGGACCCGCAGAAGGGACATCCAGGGGTAAAGATGGGGGCTGCCCCAGCCTGTCCCCCTCCTCCAGGTCCATTCTGAGGCAGGGTCCTAGGTCAAGCAGGAGGCCAAGGGCTCTGTCATAGGAGGTGTGCTCCTGGGTGTCTTGTCGTCTTTGGGCACGCCCTCCTCTTGGAGCGTGCTCTGTCCTCCAGCTTCCCTGCTCTGGTAGCACTTCTCTCCTTTTTCCCACTTCCGTGTGTGTGTGTGTGTGTGTGTGTGTGTGTGTGCGCGTGCAATTGCGTGTGCATGAGGGCAAGCACCCAGGTGTACATGTGCAGTGGCCAGAAGTGGATGTCGGGCGTGGGTGTCTTCTGTCGCTCTTCACCTTATGATTTTGAGATGGGGTCTCTTACTAAACCTGGAGCACATCATTTGGCTAGGCTGGCAGGCCAGAAAATCCCAGCATCTGCCTGCCTCTGCCGCAGACAGTGCTGGGGTTGGTTACAGATGACGGCTATGTCTGGCTTTTGTAGGTGCTGAGGATTCACTCTCAGGTCCTCAGGCTTACACACAAGCAGGGTACCCACTGAGCTACCTCCCCAGCCCCCCTCGTTGCTTCTCTCTTCACATCTAGAGCTTTACTGACCTGGCGTGGGCTCTGCCACACGAGCTCTGCAGGGTTCGTTAAGCTCAGCTGGAGGACCCAGGCTCGCCAGCTGTGCTGTCTCTGCACTATGGCCGTGCAGCTGTCCTTGGTCAGCTCTCTGTGAGTTCTAGTTTATTTCTTTTATGCAGTCTTTAAAAGATGTGGATGTTTGGGGGAGAGCACCTGTGAATGTAGTGGACTCCACGGCAGTCGGAAACTCTCATACTCACCTAACCAGCTGTCTCTCTGCAGTGGGCAGTGAGGCTGTGTGACTGCAGTGTCCGTACTGTGGCCTGGGGTCTCTTGCTGCTGATGGTCCAGAAGAGGACAGGGGTCTGTCAGTCCAAGCTGCACTGACCAGCTTGACTTTGTCCCCCACTCCAGGTGCTGCAGGGAGCTCAGCTTATAGCCGTGGCCTCTTCAGACCCTGCTGCTACAGGAGTGGATGGGTCGCCGCTCCAGGGCAGTGACATCCAGGTTCAATACGTCCAGCTGGCACCTGTGAGTGACCACACGGCTGCAGCACAGGTGAGTTCTTGTCCCACACGGGCTCAGTGCCAGCTTGTGTTGGGTTTACACGTAGAGGCAGGAGAGGCATGCAGGTCAGGTTTAGGCACAGGGCTTCTGTTTACCCTTAACTCCTAAAACCGTGGTGTGAGGTCAGGTCCGGTGCAGTTTGAGATTGAGATTCCGATCTGTGGAAATGTTTATCTAAATCTGAAGCCAGATCAGAGCTCTACCCACCTACCCCCAACCGCTCCTGGAAGTCAAGAACCAAGGCCTCTTTTTCCTCTGAACTCATTGCCCACCCTGATGAAGGTCATGGCCCTGTGTGGGGCAGGCAGGCCTCTTGCAGGCCAGAGGCAGTGGGTTTCCTGTGACCTCAGCCAGCCTCAGTCGATTTTTCCTAGGAGGTGACAGTGACAGGGAGGCGGAAGGCTTAGGACAGCCTGGGCCTGCTCTGTGTGACCGAGTCTCCTGCCTTCCTTACCACACCTTCAGCACTGACAGCCCCTCTGGGGCTCCCTGTGTCCGCCCTTTCTTTTGTGTGTTGGACCTGCCATGGTGCATGCTGCTGCCCTCACAGAAGTTTCTAGTCATATGTGCCTGAGGACCAGGCTCAAGGAATGCCAGGGCAGGGGTCCCAGGGTTCCCTTCCGTGTTCCCAGGGAAGGAACTCTCGTAGCCAGGTCTCCCTGGCCACAGGCCTCAGTCATGACCCGTAAGGTTCCTGTTGTTCCTGTCAGCCTGCCGTGCACCTGCCCACTTGAACTCACTTTCCTGGAAACTTGTGATGAAGCTGTTTCTTCCTGCTGGGCTGAATACTGCAACCCATGTCTTTCCACCAGAATTGAATGTCCCCTCCTTAAAGGAGACTAGCACGTTGAGTGTCTTGTCTTTACAAAGCAGCGCCTTGGGGCTGGAGAGATGGCTCAGTAGTTAGGAACACTTGTTGCTCTCTCAGAGGATTGGGGCTTGGTTCCCAGCACCCACTTGGCGATACACAGCCATCTGTAACTCCAGTTCCAGAGGATCCTATGCCCTCTTCTGACCTCCATAGGCACTAGACACACTGGTGGTGTACATACATACATGCAGGCAAAACACTCAACGCATTTAAAGTAAATAAACATTTTTAAAAGAGCCTTAGATGTACAATAAGAGCTGTCAGTGATAGCCCTGCAGGGATGTGGCGTGGCAGCTGCCTCTGTGGTACAGGCCCTGGCCAACTCCTCAGTACCACTTCTGGGTCCACACTGAAGCATCTTATTCAATTGTTGCTCATGCTGGATGATCAAGGATTGGTGACTCATTCTAAGGTTAAAGCAGTGACTGCATTTTTCCTAATATACACCTGTGTACATCATTGACATGATCCATCTCTGTGTGTGTGTGTGTGTGTGTGTGTGTGTGTGTGTGTGTTGAGAGGGGTCTCTCTGAGCCCCATCTGGCCTGAAACTCGCTATATAACCAAGCTGGCTTCGGCTGGCCTTGATCTCAGAGAGATCCACCTGCCTCTACTCCTGAGCACTGGGATTAAAGGTATGTGCCTCCACACCCGGCAGAAACCATGTCTTTAAGCTGCCGTAGAAACTGGGACAGCTTCTGTAGGAGGGCAGTGTGATTCCCGAGAGTTAGGTCGATATGTCAGGTTAAGAACAAGACATTGGCTGATTCTAGTTATTTCCCAGGGCACCTTGAAGTAAATTGGCAGCAATGTGGCCCAGGTGGCCTGGGTTCTCTTGGGCAGGTGAGGCTGGGTCAGCACCTAGGTCGGCTCCTTCCTGTCAGATCAGGGGTAACCTGGTAGACCTAGAGCTCCTTGAGTTTTCTACCTTGTATATAAAAGTGACCACTGCTTTACAACACATGAGTGGTCTGTGGTCACGCGTGCTGGTGTGTTTTTCTAGAACAACCCTCCTTTCCCTTCTTGCAGACGGCTGAGGCGCTGCAGCCCACCCTGCAGCCCGAAATGCAGCTTGAACATGGAGCCATCCAGATCCAGTGAGAGTTCGAGGCACAGGAGAGCCTCACCTGCCGCCACCACTCACCTACTCCAGGCCCTGCTCTCCTGCTCCAGCAGGGCATCTACAGGTTCTGCTGCAGGGCATCTGCGAGCTCTTCCTCCCGGGGAAGGTCCTAGCCACCCCTGCCGGAAGGTGCCTGGGCTGTGAGCCCCGCTGCTGGTCTCTGGAGGAGAAGCATAGTAGGAGTGCATCGAGTACATTCAGAAAAACACGAACTACGATATTTTGTTTAAACAGCTTTTTTTAATTTGCTATGGTGTTTATAACAAAAATGAAAATTGAGAAAAAAAAAAAAACAACAACAAAAGCCACAGCGTGAGTAGCAACAGCCTTTGCTGTGCGCCCTGTTCAGTGTCCTGATGATGGGTGTTTGGAAGACGGCCGATGGTCCTGGAGCGCCGTGGACCCACTTTTCTAGGGGAAGTGCTCCGCACTGTAATTATGCATTTCTAATGAAATAAAATGTATTTATGGCACAGTGGCTCAGGGCTGTTGCATCTTGAAAGATGGCTTCCCATCTAGCCATGCATTTGCAGGTGCATGCACTGGAGAAGCTCTGCTCCATCCCTGTCTGCTAAGCTTCCTCTTGGTATGTATCCCTCAGAGCAGCTGGCTTCCTCTTCAGCAGGGTGGAGCTGTGCAGTAAGCCCATCCTCTTTTGAGCACACAGGCTCTGTGAGGTGCAGCCCCAGGGCTTCTTGGAGAAGGTCCTATGTAGAGGGCCATGTCTTAGCAGAGAAAACAGTTCCAGATAGATGGCGGTTGGCAGAGCCTGGCCTCCTGCCCACACCATCACAGGTCATGTCAGTGGGGCTTGTGAAATTCCAGGAGAGTTAGTCACTGACAGCAGCCCTGTGCATGGCTCTTCATATGAAGACTGTAGAGTTCCAGCCTAGGCCATTGTGCCTGACTCGTTCCATCCCGTTCAAGATTCCTAGGCTGGTCCATCACGAAGGCACTCTTAGGTGACAGAGGGCAAACAGGCAGTGTGACTGCTCTGGGTGGATCCTAATGGGAGACTGGCCACTGTGAGGATGGCCGTGAGGGGGGGAACTAGGTGAGAAGACATGGAGGCTGGAGGCCTCGGGTCTCTGTGACACATCTGGGCAGGATCCTAGGCAAGACTGGACAACACAGAGGAGATCACATCCCAGAGGGGTGTGGAGTCAGCCCACCTCCAGACAGGCAAGGCAAAAACCAGAGAACAGAGGCCCTCAGGATTAGAGATGGCTGCAGACACCACCCCCTGGAAGCTGGCGTGCTGGGAGGAGAAAACTCTCAGCAAAGTCAGGTCTTTGGAACACTGGTGATGAAGACCAGTGTGACCTACAGTTGCACTGTGGTGAACCTCCAGGGGACTGAAAACCTGTGTCCACAGGAATACCTGTGCACGCACATCCACCACAGCCCCGTTCATGGCAAATGGACACTGCATGGCCACTGTGTGAATGGTGAACAAAGCGTGGCTGTTGATGGGGTGGAAGATTATTTGACCATTGAAGGAATGAAATTCTGATTCACACTGTGATGTGATTGAACTCGAAAACATGAGTGACTGAAAGAAACCCAAGGCAGAAGAACACTTACCGGAAGATTCCGCTCATGTGAAATGTCCCAAGCAGCAAATTCACAGAGACTGAAAGCAAATTATCGGTTAGTGATTGTCAGGGTCTTAGAGCAGCATTGGGGGAACATGAGGGGACTGTGTTGCTTTGTGGGGTGGTGAAAATGCCTTAGAATTAAACCGATTTTTCTACAACCTTCCTAACATAACTAAGTTACTGGACTAGTCTCTTAAAAGGTGAAATGTTTGGTGCTCATGTTATACCTCAAGGTTATTTTTTAATAACTGGATGACATTTGACAAAAACATAAAAATTAAGATCATGCGTAGAAGATGCTCCCTGTTAAAAATTCTAAGGAATTTTCTTCAAGACCAGGAACATGAACCCAGAAGGAGTTTTCAGCCCAAGAGTCTCCTGGGCCAAAATAGGACAGAAACACATCTTAAGTGAGTTATAGAAAACTGACTCTGAGATAAAGAATAAAACTGTGGAGAACATTACTCTCTAACTTGGAACAGGCAGGAAGAGAAGTGAGTTATTTTGAAGCACTTCCTTTGCCTTGGAGGAAGGCTGGTGATACGGTACAGTCTTAAAGCTTCTGTGTCTGAAAACAAGCCGCATGGAGATATCTGTAAGCAGGTGGCCGGCACCCTGACCTGCCCCGTGGAGCCTCACCCAGCAGCCCAAGAGGGTGAGTGCTTTCCAAGTGCTCTCTGGAGCTTTCTGAGCCTTGCTGAAGAAAGACTTGGCCAGTGTTGCAGGGTAAGAGCCGTGCTGTGTGTGCTCTGATGAAATGGAATTAGGGTAAAATTTAATTAAGTAAAAACAAACCCCACAGGTCAAATAAATGGACATATGAAAGTATTTTTTCATTGAACAGCAAATTGACATGCCAAAACATGGAATACATAAAAAATATGCTTAGAGAAAAATCTAAAGATGAGACGAAGAACTACATCTAGACTCAAATAGCAAAGACCAGCATAGTTCTGTGAGAAGATCACACTTACTGGAGGATTCCATTTATGCAGAATGTCCCAGACAGTTGATAAGGCCCTGGCACAGCCAAGTCCGTAAGGATGGGCATGTTACCTCTGTGGGGCTCTCCATAGACCCTCCGGTAGCGAAGGTGAGGCTGTTTTAGAACTGCTGTTATCAGTGGGCTTAAAGATGTGTCCATAGCCGGGCGTGGTGGCGCATGCCTTTAATCCCAGCACCTGGGAGGCAGAGGCAGGCAGATCTTTGTGAGTTCGAGGTCAGCCTGGTCTACATAGTGAGTTCCAGGACAGCTGGGGCTACAAGGAGACCCTGTCTCAAAAAGCCAAAAAAAAAAAAATGTGATGACACATTGCCAGGAAAGTACTTTTCCAGACCTACCACCGGTACCCACACCTCAGGAGCTCCAGCTTTATGAAGCCTTATCTCTAAATTAGTCTTGTCACAAAAGAAAACCTCTGGACTGCATGCTTCAGTGACTAGTGCTTCTGAAGGCCGAACAAGCAGGTGGTGATTGACAGTCACAAGGGCTCCATCTCCATCTTATTTTATGGGGCAGTGCAACCTTGACACCAGACAGGGGCAAGAAAAAGATAGTAGCCCAGTGTTTGTCGTGAGTGTTCAAGCCACCCCAGGCAGCGTAAAGCATGCTTAGTGATGTCAGTTGATGATAATGTCGCCCCCCAGGCTGGGTTCAGTCCTGCATGGCTGCTGTATCTTAAATGCCATTCTAATTAATTTACTGCTTTAACATAACCATATGGTTATCTCAAGCAGAAAAAATACCATGTAAAATCCCATTCATGTTTAAATGGAAAAATTCTGTGACCAGCGATCCCCCTTAACTTGGACTGGGAAGCCCTTTCTGAGGGGTGGCGGGTAAGGGTGCCTAGCATCCTGGGCACACAGTGGTTGTAACTAGTAATGCTGTGGGGCCAGGCAAGGAGATTAGAAAGTCAGAAGTGACTGTTGCCCTCTCCGGAGAACCTGAGTGTGAACACTCGGATGTGTAGAATTGACAGAAAGCTACAGGAGGGCCCACAGCAAACCAGAGTGGACTTGTCAGAGTTGGTAGCCCACAGGCCAGTGCCCCATCAGCTCCCCTCTCAGTGCTAGAAGCAGCACAGTCACTCTAATAGATTGTGCATGAGGGACTGAAATCGCTTCCACGCCCAGAAGTAGATTTCTCAGAAGATGCCTGGGACAGATGTTACTGAAGGAAATCGAGGGCACTGTGGGGGGCGGGGGGCTCAGTATTAGGTTTCTTTCAGAAGCCAAGCAGGGATTTCTGTGGCAGTGGGCATGCTTGCTCTAGAATGTGCCTGAGCGTGTGAAAGGTGAGAATGACAAGGGACTAGAAAAATGGTTCGGTCGTTAAGAGCGAGTATCGCTCTCCCAGAGGACCGAGTTTGCTTCCCAGTACCGATGTCTGAGTGGCTCACTACTGCCCATAGCTCCTACGCCAGGGACGCCACGCCTTCTGCCTCCTGAGCACTTCACTCACACCACAGACGCTCAGACATACATTACTAAAAATAAGCGATAAAAAATCTTTAAGAATGTCAGTCTTGAACCTGTGTGCGATAGAGAGCATGGACACTGCGACTAAGGCAGACCCGCCGTGGGGTGGGGTTGGCGGAACAAGGGACATTGATTCCACAGCAGGACCGTGTGACAGCTCATGGGTTCACAGAAGTCATTCAGGGAGCCGGGTGTGAAGGAGCACAGTAAAACAAGGTGTGAACTCTGACCGACCGGAGCAAGGCTAGGAGGAGCCGGACACAAGTCTGCAGGACAGGAAAAGGTTGGCCAGTTGGAACAAATTTCAAGACTGTTTAAGGTGGGCACAGTGGTGTGTGCCAGGAGTCTTGACCCCAGGGAGATGGAAGCAGGAAGACCAGGAGTTCAGAGTCGTCCTCAGCCATATGAGACCCTGTCTTTAAAAGCAAACGGCAGTAAACTGTTGAAAGGAGATCTAACGGTGGGGGGAGCTCCATTTCCCTAGTGCTCACAGGACTCAGTGAATCTACAAATCTGTGCATGGTGAGGACAATCCCACAGTTCAAGTGAACCAGTAGGGCAGAGGACCTGCCAATGGAGACAGGATGCAACCACCATTCATTTGATGTTGGGATCCTGCGCATTGGGCAGGGGAGAAGGCAGGGTGCCAGCCAGCAAAGGCATAGAGACTGGCAGAATCCACCTCTGTCTCTGGACCCCCAGTCAGACCAGATTGTAACCATGTATCTGGCACCCAGGAGGACTCAGGTGGATGATGGATTGTGGCAGTGTGTCCTCATCGGGTTTTATCTGAGACCATTGCATCCAGCAGACAGGAGATGATGGATGGGCCATGATAGCGGCCGGGAAGCAAGTGAGCCGAGACCACGGTTTCCCAGGAGGAAGATGGCCACGTAGAGAGTGCAGAGCACTGCTGCTCGGTGGGAGTAGAGCCGCCCGACTCTGCCTGTGAGACCCATCACAAGCCCTAGGTGTAGTGGGACCTCTTTGTCCGTAACCGGCTCTGAAAGAGTCGGAGCCGACGTCTGGTGAAGAGTTCACCTTCCTGGTAAGGTGGGGGCTTTGCTGTCATCCCCAGCTGCTTTCCACGGGCCTCACCCCAGCCAGGGGCTGGGCTCCCAGTGGGCTGGGTTGTGGCAGGACTGGCCCAACAGTTTTCTCTGCAACTCCAGGCTTCAGGTTGCTGCCCATCCACATGCCTGCAGGGATGTAGGTTCTACAGGCACTTTTCCTGAGCTGGGTTAGAACTCCTTCCAATGTCCTGCATTGTGCTTGACAGTGTCATGGATGATCAAGAGGCCCCTGGCTGCCCTCTCGGTGAGTGGTCACCTTTGCATTCCTCAGTCAGGTGGCATCTAGAGTGGGAGCAAATGGCTGAGACTGGGTTACA